CCGCATTCAGATGTGCAGAAACAGCAAGGCTTGCTTGCGTGGGGAAGCCTACACGGTCGTGAGGTCGAAAGGCGGGGGCAGGCATGCGTTGCCTGAATGTGCACGACCGCCTTAAGGCGAGTATGGGCATGTGAGTATAGATGCGCACGCATATTGGTGCGTCCGTGCTGCCAGAATGCTCGCGTATGCGTACTGCTAACTGCAAGCACTTCATGCCTACGCCTTTAGAGCGAAGACTCTAGAATTTGCCATCGGGGGTTATAACGATGGAGACATCACAACATCTGCTAAGTAAGTGCACGGGAAAGATGTTGTTTAACTTAGAAGAATAAATAATTTGGTAAATAGATTATCAAACAACTGCAAATCTTTTGAGGCAAATCGGTATAAAAGATCTGCATTGTTTAATTTGACTCTAGTTGTAAAGCTTGGTTGGTGCCGCGGTTGTGCGCAAAGCGCGGTGACATTATTCAAGAGATGGATAGCTTGCCTAGGTTTGATCGGTTTAACATATTCCAATCTTTTTCAGGAAAATCGGCTTCTTCCTTCTTTTTCTGTATTTACTTTTCTGCTTCACTTCGTACTGTCCTTCCAATGGGACTCGGTCTCCCCGAACTTCTTACCGAAACCGCTTCATTCATAGGTATCGATTATTCACACGTTATTTTTTAGGAGACACCATGGTTTACGCCAGCTGTTTCGGACAGATGTCAAAGATTGGCCGGAAATTATCCTGCGGGATGAAGCAGAACTTGTATGTAACATTTAAGTTGTCCTTGTTGAAACTACCAGTTCGTAAACTTTTGTGATTGATTGTTTTCCAGAAATGATTTTTCATATACACAGGCATCAGTTACCACAAAAAAACACGCATATTAAGATTTCTATAGAAGAGGAAGCAAATGTCAATAAAGACTACAATTGTGCTAATTAACGAGGCAGGAAATAATTCGGCCGTGTTGTATGCACAAGGGAACGGTCTGGAAAGAAGTATTTTCTATCGTAGCTGATAGAGAAGAAATGTAGTGCTGTTGGTAACTGTCGGTAGGGATCATGGAGGAAGGTGACGTGGAACAATGTAGCAAGGGAGTCTACAACCCTTATGAATAGGTTGGCAAGAAAGGGCACCGTTTATCTTTAGGTACATGTGGTTTCCACCCTGGATCCTCGCCAAACTCAGTCGACTTGAACAACTCTGCCACCCGCAGCGCGTCACGGAAGTCTGAATCAAATATCGCAGAAAAATTTCAAATTCAATACTTAATAGTTTGATTCATGGAGCTTTATTGGATCCGTAATTGTTGCCGGCTATTCAGGCATAGACTGAACTGCCATTATGAACGGATAAACTCGGACTGCAGTGAAAATTGAGCATACAAATAGCGATCTTTTCTGGGCTCCTGGTGCCGGACGTGTAACTGATTTAAATAATTATTCTCGACGAGACTCTTTCAAGTTAATTAGAAAAGTAGATGCATAAATAGCCTTATTGTGTTATCGTCTGGAAACACATGGGTTTTCCTTATGTGCAGTCTTACGTTGACCCTTTCTACACAGGAGTGCATAAGTTGACCGTTATTAAAACTTCCTGTATAAATACCTCTACATGCTGCAAGCTTGACGGCTTATATCAAATCAGGTGTTGTGTTGACCTACTCCGCTGCCTCAAGTCTGGTCCCCAGGACGAGTTTGTTGCAGTACCAATTTTACTTTGTTTACGCAGCGATTATTTCAGTATTCGTGGGATATTGAATATCTTTGCTTCATTTTGAGGGACGTTTTGGATTAAGGCGGCTAAAATTGGTAGTTTTGGCTTGTGTGCTGTCGATTTAAAGTAGATATGAACATACTCTACAGATTTCTGTTTGAAATTGATCTTGATCTCCATTAAGCTATTTTTAAAAGTCAATCAACTTTTTATTCGTCGATTAAGACCATGGTGTCGTCAAAAAACTGCACTCCAGGATACTTGAAAGTTTTAGCAAACAGAATGTGAATCTCTAATCCGTGTTGCGAAGCGAAAAATAGGTCTGTCGTCGGAACAGGGCTCTCTGACCTGTGCAAGAGTGCGTCATCAAGGACCCAAAGGGGAAACAATAGGCATGTAGCGTTGTGTGCCTTGTCATTATTTATCATTTGCGTGCGCCCTTGACTGGGATGCCTCAGTCTTTTGATACCAAGCATCTATGAATTTCGGTCATTCCCCGATCAGGAATGTATCTGAGGATTAGCTTAGTTATCTAGGGTTGATTAACAAATTAACGAATCTGGGGACCTCATTCATCTGTCCAAAACTAGCTTTAATCAGAAAAAGTGGGACACGATGCTCGTTAGTTGGCTTATGAACGGTCTAAGATTGGCAATAAGTAGGCAAAGATAACTAGTGTTTTAATGCGTTTTCTGCATTTTTTGGACCACCTTGTCCTCAATAGTACACATCAGTAGGTCTGGACATACCTGGTAAGTTATTTAATGTAAGTATTCCTTCACGCTTTCAGAAGAAGGCTGTCAGTAGTCCTGAAAATGAAGCAGTCAAAGTTGAGGCCGGCCAGAAAGAATCCGAAAAATCTGCTGCCAGTGACCTTCCGCCTATGGACGCAGCAGTTGTTAACGATCTCACGCAGCCTCAAATGCCCACTTTCGATGAGTTTCAAGCCATGGTCTCAGATGAAAACCAACAGAAAAA